ATTACAATAATTGTAATGCACTTATAATTTAATGACATTTTATTTATTTTTATTATTAAATCTCTGTTTTAATTGGAGACAAAAATAAAACAAATTTTTTCTGACAATTAGCGAATCAATTCATTATAAATTTATAATTTATTTTTGTTTATTATTTTGTAATATAAAAATTTATATCAGAAATCAATCATAATTTTTAAATTAAATTAATTAATCACTTATAAAGAAATGGGTTTTTATTTTTGTTGTTTTAATTTCTTAATTATTCAAAACCTCAGCTCTTCTGTCAAAGAAATGACTGATTAATTATATAACGATTAAATGAAAAACCTTTTTATAAAATAAATATAATTTTTTGTTTTCGTTTAAACAAAATATAAGTGGAGAGAGAGAGAGAGAGTTTAATAGTGAGACTCTATTTCGCCTACAATTTAACGATTCAATTAATGACTAAAATGTTTCTCACATTTAAGTCATTAATTGAATCGTTAAATTGTAGGCGAAATAGAGTCTCACTATTTTGTCTGAGCAATGGATGAGTTGTCCACTACTGTTGGCTATCAATAGTTAAGCATAAAAAACCGATACAACTCTCGGAGTAAACACTTTACTATTAAAGTAACAGCACTTTTCCATATAGGATAGTGTATTGTATATTTTGAGTATATCGTACAGTATAGAGATTGAATCCCGGGGACATTTAGGCCAATTATTTTCCACATTAATAAAGTAACTCAACATTATATTGAACGATGAAATAGACCTGTCCTTAACGACCAGTATGTGTCCAGCCGTTAGATGTTGTAATACAGTATCATATATGAGGAAATGAAATGTCATATAACTTACTTGTATATACAACTTAATTAAATATATTTTTATAAAAATCCAGAATTTAAATTGAATTTAAATTATTTATCAAATATTACATGTTATTTGTTAATAAAATTCTATCGAGAATTAAATAGTTGATTGAAATTTATTGTCTATTTATAAAAATATGTAAAAATAGCACACATGAATATTACATACATGCACTAAAACATAATGAAAATAAATCAATTTTTACATAAAGTGTGTGATTAATACGTGAGGGAAAGGGATGCGAATGGAGTGCACCGGCAATGGTGTCACTGTCTGTGAAGATGAAAATATTCACTCAGATTAACACTTCATAGCTATAATCGAGACCTGAATTCTTCATACAATATATATTAGATGAGGAATTTTTATTGTCCAATATTTACCATTCAGTTATGTCTATCGCTGTGAAGTAAAAGCCTAAGCTCTTCAATTGTGTGAGAGCTCAGGCGCTCAGTATCTTTGGCCAAACCATCGGTGCTGTTAAATAAGAAATACAGAGCACTCGACTGATTGTACAGTATATACACTCCGGCCATACCTTTTGCAGAGAATAGACAACTGAATACATCGCTATTCTCAGTAGTCNGCTCAGGCGCTCAGTATCTTTGGCCAAACCATCGGTGCTGTTAAATAAGAAATACAGAGCACTCGACTGATTGTACAGTATATACACTCCGGCCATACCTTTTGCAGAGAATAGACAACTGAATACAACCCTATTCTCAGTAGTCTTTGCGCTCATTATAAAGATAAATAGTGTTGCACTCAATGGCACCGACTATTGAGAATTGCTGTAAATAGGATCGAGAGAGAGAGAGAGAGAGAGAGTTGCAATATATCTAATACAATATGTTATAAATTGTCAATTCATTCATTTATTTGATTGTATTTTTGTCAATACATTTTTCCATATGACTCGATAGGACTGATGCGGATGTTTGGGGACCCGAGCCGTGCAGTTGGCGCTCATATATCATACTATTTCAAAATAACTCAGCCGTCCGTCGATTTAAATTTTCGGTCCGTTATCTACAGAACTAATCTCGTGTTTTGCCTACAATTACACCAACACTTGGCCGACCCTAAGCTCCAGGTAAGCCATTGCCCACTATTGCACCCGTAGTCTAGTATTTGACAATAATTGATAAACAAATGATTATTGTTTGACACACTTTATAAACTTATGTACAAACAATAACAATTATAAATATATGACGATTAGTCAGTCGTTGGAAAATACTTTACATAAAGTGATTATCGCTAATAAACTGATAAAATGTATAATAATTATTTGAATCCAATAATATTTGCCAAAATATCGCAAAATATATGCGGAAACGAAATAATTATGATTACCCAATAGTAATGTTAATCGATATAAATATACAGTATATATACGAGATTTAGTTTTGGCCGCAATTTGTTGGCTCTAATTATAGTAATAAAAGTGAAATCCTTTGCTCCGAAAATTTCCTAATTATTTTAATCTCTTAACTGTTCCTTAAGTTAAGAGCATTATATCCATCAGAGAAAGGGATGCGCTCTCGATATGGATGACAGAGTGAGTGAATGAAAGTGGGAGAGAATGGGAGTGAAAAGAGTGGAGGTATTAATCGTATAAAATAAAGTTTCAATTCGTGATTACGTTTTATACCTCATATAACAAGTGGCGAGAGAGAGAGAGAGAGAGAGAGAGAGAGAGAGAGAATATTGTTGATAAGAGCAGTACCAGTAATGGTATTACTTATTACAATAGTATTTCGATCGTTAGAAGTGATGGCAATCACACGAACATCACCGACGAAGGGGTGCATCCCATGCCTCGTCAGCATTGAAAGTGTTGTTCTCGTTTTGTCCCATATTTTCATATCGTTCACAACAAAACAAGTGTCTCTAGAGTGGATCCGTTGGTTATGACTCTCTCTTTCTCTCTCTCTCTCTCTCTCTCTCTCTCTCTCTCTCTCTCCGATCTATCCATCCATTGTTTTTTGTACTCAAATGACATAATCAACACAAATAAGAAGAAATACAGATCTGATCTCTCTCTCTCTCTCTCTCTCTCTCTCTCTCCCTCTCCTAGTGTTTCGTGGGTCCGCTCTAATGATGCGATTTCTATTTCTTATGTCTTTTATTGAATGACTTTTACGTTAAGAACTTAAGCGAAAATTACAACAAATATTATTTATTATCTTACGTTTGATCGTATGTCACAAGTATTGCAAACATAAATCCTAAAGTTTGTCCATAAATCTCAATCAAATAGTCTTAAGTTATGTTTCATTCATTCACTGTTTTATTCGGAGTTTATGTGTGTTTTTGTGCAGACTTTGCTATAATTGACAAAAACTACATATTTTTCTGAGCCGTCGTTTATAGGGCTTTAATTCAAATAAAAATTTTAATTTCACTCTTGAATTATGAAAAATCAATTTTCAAATAAAGTAATAAAACATTAATTAAGTTTTATATTGATTCAAATTTCTACTTAAATTCATTTTTCTACTGCAATTCACCCCTTCCTCGAAGTCCTTTCCCCTCTTCACTCTTTCTCCCACTCTTTTACGAGTTGTTTGAATACAAAAGCTTCACATAAATTAAAAAACAGAATAAATTAAAAATTTCTAAAACTTATTATTGATTTTTTAGTAAAATAAACGAATTATATATATTTTTTCGGAGAATTCATATGAAAACTCAAAACACTTTTTTGAATTTAAATTATTATTAAAAGAGATAAAGAGTTGAAATGAATTTATGGGCAGAAATGATGTGAATATTTTTAATACCAGTTGAAAAGAGTTACTCAAAAAAGTTAGGCTGAAGTAGACATTCATTTGAAGTGCATTATAGGCAGTGATGCGGGAATATTAAGACATGTCTTCTCTAATAATAAAAGATCTTAAAATGCGTTGATTAGTGTCGGCACAGGAATGGCAACTATCATAGAAAGGGTAGGGAATGGCAGGGAATGGTAGGCTTGGATGAGCCAACTGTTTAGCGACACAAAAAAGCTAAATAATCTCTATTTTAATATAAATGACAGCAAAAGGAGTATAAATTAAAATAGAAATTAATCCTCGGATTAGAGTTTTTGTGTTCCTTTAAAACTTTGTGTTTTTTAAAGTCATGATTACATTCGCTTCAAACCCTATATTATATTAAGCATTCAAATGTTTGCACTCATAATACACTCTACAGTACAGTATATTTGAAAGTCTAATTAAAACCAACAATTATTAAATCGCCGGAAAGGAAACGGCAGTAAAAAAACAAACAAAACAAATATACAGTAATATAAAAGTTATATTTCAAACAAAGAAATTAAAGGCGAGAGACAGAGAAAAAAAGTTTTAAGATTTTGACGAGTCATTCATTTATTCAATAGTTTTGTTCACAAATATTGTGTAAAATATGTGCTCAAAATGAGTGCAAACAACAAATGTCTTTAACTTATTTATTAAACTTCAAAAAACTCTTGGGTTAAGTGTATGGACGAGGAAATTGATATTTAAGTCAACGTTTTGGACAATTACTATATATTGCATTCATTACCATTTTGTTGCCGCGAAATGAATAACTTATTTATAGCTATTTTTCTTTGCATTTGATTTTAATTGTCGGGCGTTTTATTGTTATTGTGTTTCCGAGAAAAATGCTTTAATTGATTGATATTTTTATGTTTTAACCATAAAAATCAATTTAAAATATTCAATAACACTGTATTGAGCTCTAAATACATGCGAAATACATACACAATATAGCATTGAATTGTGTTCATACAAGTCATACAATCCTGACGTGAATCCCATAACCATTTAAATGGCAAAAATTGTCGCAAATTGTAAATCACTTTTTCGATGGAAAAAAGCAGTGAATTCTCATTGAAAACAATGACATCTTTCGATCATTTGTGTCATAAGAGAGGAGAAGAGAGTGTAAAACATGGGATGAATTGAGCGATGATTTCTGTAAACAAGAATCCCTATTGAAATGCATGTATTGATAACATTATAAGAAAATGCATTGAAAAACAAGTTTTTAAACTTCAAAAACTCAATGATTTACTTCGCGAGCGATTGTGTGGTTTGTATTGAGTGAATGAGTGAAACGTGAAAGTCATGTCTCTCTCACTTGTCATTGATTAGCATTGATTTCATTTAGCATTTAATACAATGTGTGTTCAGATTTAAAATACATTGATTTACTGTTAAATGCCATTTTTGTATTGAAAGGACATTTAAAAAAGTGTAACCATATATTTGTAACAAAAGTTGACAAAACAAACACTACTTCTCAACACAAACACAGTTCACATGAATTAGTGCTCAAACTGTTTGAGTCAAACAAATTGTGCTCTATTTTAGTGGCAATCGTTTTGAACTGATTTTTAAACATAAAATTGTTATCAATTCATAAAATTGATGTGAAATACAGATAATAACCAAACGATTGATTGTATTATTCATAACTCGTTTCATAATAACTATAACAGCGATGGAAATGAGTATCAAATGGGAGTTAAAAGAGATGTTTGATTCACTGATATCAGCGCCGAAATACCATTTGGCTCTCGAGGGATGTCTTGTGATGTGTGTCTTATGGCTGTTGTTTCACAAGAGCTATAAACCCGAGTCCACTAAACTCACCGAAAAGGTCTTCAATCATCTCTTTGTAATTGATTTGATTTTACCACTAATTGTCTCGTAATGTCTTTACAACAGGAGAAGGAAGAGCTGATCGCCGAATGGACGCCCGAACCACTGGTTCCCGACACCCCTTCAGACCATTACGCACTCAATCCACGGATTGTGACCTCGAAGTTAGGCAAACGTATTGTCATCGATGGTCACGATTGTCTCAATCTCTCCACTCATAACTACTTGGGTTTTGTCGAAAACGACAAATGCATTGAATCGGCGATCAAAGGTCTTCGCAAGTATGGCGTCGGCTCTTGCGGTCCGAGAGGTTTCTACGGCACAGTCGGTCTGTTTTGATGTCCAGCCATTCAATTGGTGTGATTTGTGTATTGACTTGCTTTTTATACATCACTTTTCAGACATTCATCTGGAGTTGGAGTCGAGATTAGCGAAGTTTATGGGCGTCGAGGAAGCGGTTCTGTATTCGTACGGCTTCTCTGCCATATCGAGCGCTATTCCCGCCTATTCTAAAGTGGGAGACGTTATCTTTGTGTTAGTCTTTGACCGCAAACTCAATTATCAACTCATAATTTACGTTACAATCGATTATAACTATTAATTATAATTATCGCACAATTAGTGACGAAGGCGTCAACTTTGCGATACAACAGGGATTGATTGCCTCCAGAAGTAAAATCAAGTTCTTTAAGCACAACGACGTCGAGGATCTGCACCGACTCCTCTTAGAACAGGCAGATATTGACCGCAAAGTATTGCATTTTTTACTTTCAATCATTGGTTTAATTACTAATTGAAATGCTTTTTAATACTCGAAGAATCCGAAGAAAGCGAAAGTCACGCGTCGTTTCCTCGTTGTCGAAGGCCTTTATATCAATTACGGCGATATCTGTCCTCTGCCTCAACTCGTAATACATATTATTATTATTAACAATACTTACATAACATTTATTTCAAATAATTATTGATCAAAAGCTCGAACTGAAGAAGAAATATAAGGTTCGGATGTTTATCGACGACACGTGCGCTCTGGGAGTGCTCGGCGCTAACGGACGCGGAGTTGTCGAGCACTTTGGCGTCGCTGTCGATGACATTGACATGATTTGTGCCACTTTGGAGAACGCGATGGCAGCGTATGGAGGCTTCTGTTGCGGCACCAGTTTTATTGTGGACCACCAAAGACTCTCAGGACTCGGCTATTGCTTCTCCGCGTCATTACCTCCACTACAGGCGGCCGTCGCTCTCACTTCACTCGAGACCATCGAAAACAACAATTCCGTGATCGAGAAGTTGCGCCAAAATTGTCAATCCATGCATTCATTACTCAAAGAGTGGGCAAATATTTTACCATTTAGTTAGCGATTTAAGCATTTAATAATTTACTCATTTATTATAGCATTCCGTATGTGAAAGTGTTTGGCGAACCGATAGCACCCATCAAACATTTGAGATTCGCTAACAATACCAATGATCATAAACTTGAGACCAAGAAGTTGGAGAAAGTGGTCCAAATCGTGAGTGTTTTAGTCATTTTGATAACTATTTGAATTGTCATTAAATTGTAATTGATTTGAAGGCACAAGAGAGAGGGTATGCGCTGACAGTGGCCAGATATCTAGATGACAGCGAGCACTTGTTGCCCAAACCGAGTATTCGCCTCATTGTGAACGCCATTCTCAACGACCAAGAAATGAAAGAATCGGCTGAAATGATCAGTCAATCATTTGAATCTGTTTTAAATTTATATTAATTTTTATTTATTATTTTTCGATGCAATCAATCATTGAATCGGTGTTTGAATAATTCCACAGAAAAATAAGTCATATTTATTGTAATAAAAAAAATAATTTAAATTAAAACACAAAACTTTCGATTACAAGAAGAGAAAAATTTGTATTATTATAATATATATGCAATGAAAACAATATTAAGTCAAAAATAAATGCAAAGGTTTTTTATATAAAAAAATATTAATTTGAATATTTGTTACATTTTCATGATTTAATGATTATATTAAAAGACGCTTTTGTTTTGTTACGTTTAAAACTAATTCATTAAAAAAATAGTAATTTTGAAATTAATTTACATAAAAATAAGCTTTTTTAGAGAGATATTGTAAAATGTCATCAAATTTTAGATCTGTTGCCAATAAGTGGTAACAATTTGTTCGTCATTTTCATTGACATCAACGCTGGCATCGGAGCCGATGTCGATGGGAGCGCTTCCCGCCAACTCCATGAGCGCCAGAGCGCCCATAATCTTCTCCCTGTGTTCACTCTTTCCGTTCTCCTCGTCGTCGTCCGCCTCGGCGTCCAATTCTTGGCGCAACTTTCGGGCCGCGCGGCCGACGTGTGCGATCACTGACCGCCTCTTTTCGCTGCGCGGCTTCTTCTCTAACTTTCGGCTATTATTCTCTGTATTTCCGATATTTTTGTTAACTTTCAATATTTTTGTTATCACTTTAGTGTCGGAGCCGTTGTTCTCGTCGTCTGTGGGAACGACTCGTCGGACGCCATACCGGGAGTGAAGACTACAGCGACGGTTGGCGTGAGTGAACCGATTGGCGCAGTCCGGGAACGCGCACTCAAATGGCTTTTCTCCCGTATGCAGGCGTTGGTGAGTCCGGAGTTGTCCTAAACATACCATACAATTGGTTACAATTGGGTTTTCATTCACATTTCAAACTCATCAAAAGTGTTCAAAACAATCAAATGGCTATTCAATGGTGTCTTTGTCTGACCTGATTGTGCGAAAGCGCGTCCACAGCCCTCCATATCGCACCGATAGGGCCGCTCACCGGTATGTGTCCTGAGGTGCGCCTGAAGGCTCTTCTCGCGCGGAAAGACACGGTTACAGACCTCACACTTGATGGCCGACGGAGATGTCGAGCCCGTGAGGATCAGACTTGTGATCTCTTCGAGTCGCGGTCGACCCCTTTTGGCCGAACTCGAGTTGGGATCGTCGCCAGTGGGAGAGTCCGGTCGTCGTGAGCGCCACGGAGTGGCCAATGGACTCAATTGTATGGATTGGGCCGAGTCTGACCACAACCACGGATAGTACAGACTGTTGTCACTATTCATCGGCGACGACACCGACTCTGACTTGTCTTTGGCCGCACTCTGGGGTCGTTTGCCGGAGTCGGGCGTCGAGAACACAATCACTCCCTTCTGAGCCATCGTTTGTCGTATTGTTTGATAAGTTATTCGCGGTTTTAATCAACAAATTTAAAACTCAATTAAAAGTTTAGTCTTTAAAAAGTTTTCACTGCAAAAGTAATGACACAATGAATTGTGCGCTCAAAAAGTCGTACACTTTTGGCGTCACTTACGCTGTGTTAGCGTTCAATAGAGAGAGTGTGAGAGAGAGTGAGTCTAACCGCCGGCGCCAACGCTTCAACTTTGCCGCCAATACTACACAACCACTCATTCAAAGCCTTTCACACCGTTTTGGCGCACAATTGACGTCAATTACGTTCGCGAATGCAATGCCTTTTAAACCACACTTTAAATGCTTTTTCGCTTTAAACTTAACTTTTCATTACAAGTGTTGATTGCAATGCTTTTTCTACTCTCTCTCGCTGTTTGTCTGGTGAACATTGATTGAGACATTTGATACATGTTTTCGCTCTACACTCACATTCATCTCATGTATTACTCGCTATTAATTGACAAAACTATTTGTTGGCATCAAAACCAATGACAAGATTTGATACTCAAATCATCTCAACTTTGGACTTAAACTTTGAGTCCATTAAATTGAGTGTTGATTTTCAATGCCAATCGAGTTAACCATAAGCTATCGATAATTGAATTTAATTGTAACATTAGTTTTGATCAAGAGTTTGGCATTGGTTTGGATGCGACCACTCATTAAATACCATTTAATTATGCAATGAATTAATAAATGCAATATAATTGTAATAAAGTGCACAGAATTGGTGCAGAAGTGGACGTAATTGTTGTGCGAATGGAAACGCTGTCCAATGGGTGAGGAGTTGTCCGCCATTTAATTGTTTTGTTTTGCCATTTGATAGGCATTTGGTGTGGATTTGGTGTGCGATTGTGTGGAGTCTGTAATGTCTGTAATGTGTAATGTATTGTAAGGTTTGGCGCAAACGCTATGAACGCAATGCTGTCTCTCATAGAAGCGTACGAATAGTGTATTGAAAGTAGCGTTTGGTTGCAGTGAAGGTCTCGCGACTCCACTCTCTCTCCACTTGTATTGATAGCATTCATTGCGGAAACCATTGAAACAATAGTTAATGTCTTTTCCGAGGCATTCATTGAGCCATTGAATTGTCTCATCGCTTGATCTCATAAGAAGTGTGTGTTTTGTTGTCGACTTGACTACTCGTGAGCTGATCGTTGCGGACATCACACGTGCGAAGACTCACCACTCGTTTGCAGACAATGGAGTCTTCGTATGGCATAGGAGTGAAGAACAGGTACGCCGTGTTCATCGGCGACGAAGAGGACGACCCGCTGACCATCGTTGCCAAGAGTGAGGAGAAGCTCAAGACAACGACCGCCGCCACAGATAAGCACTCGTCGGCCAATCGGTCGGTGAAGGCTCTGAACGACTCGAAGACTAACCATCAGAACATCATCTCTAAAGACAAGACTCAAAAGGATTCACTCATTAGTATGTGTTTTGCGCTGTTTCTCAATATTTCGTATCAATTGTATTGTCTCTCACTTCTCAAACTCCCCATTCGTTTCCAATGCAGAGCTTTATTGAGAGTTATATTTATTTATTTAATGCTTTTATTTATCGTTTGGTGTGAAATACAGAGTCGAAGACAACCGAAGGCCTCCAGTCTTTGTCCAAAAATAAAGATATCACTAAAGGTCTGATTCAGTGATTGATTTTCTCTCTCGTTGTCTCGTGTTATCGTATTTTTTAATTATTTACACAATTAGTGATTAGTTTTAAAGACAAACTTTGAGCTCTCATTACAGACTAAATACATGATTAGATTTTGAAAATGTTATGAAACGACAAATGTGTGCAAAAAGACAATGAAAATGAATGCCTTATAAGTAGTGTTTTGTATATCCTATAAACGGATCGATTGATTGAATTATTGAAAAGACAAATAGTATTGCATTTTAATATACATGTTATGTATTTCTTGTGATAATTAATGATTTAATGACTAATCGATGTTTAAAATTGACACAAAATATAAGCATTAAATGCAATACAATGTGTGAATGCAATGGGAAAGCGATGTTAAGCCATGTGTTTGTGTGCGAAAGCATTGGAGCCAAAGATAACCCACTTTTGAAACGCCTTCGCTTTTAAGGCATTATTTTTAAAGCATTTTGTTTTTCATTTTCAACAAAAGGCGATTCCAATCGAATTAATCGGCAAAAGACTGACCGAAATCAGAGGCCACGCGATGTGAACCAAACCGGAGACAAACCCAATCACATAAACGATCGCCAGAACCGACCGCCGCGTGCTTTCAATAATGACCAGAAGGACATCGACGACCAGAAGAACCAACGAAACCGTGACGAGCGGTTTGGCGGCAACACCAATGAGATCAGGTATGTCTTCACGCACTTTGGATCCCATGTGTCCGTCAATTAAGCCGACAGTTATATCAGTCAATGGTATCGATTGTGTGCATACGACGGATAGACAACAACTGTTGGACTCTTTTAAGATATTATTACTTCTGTGAATATCTTGTGATAATAATAGACACAATTTTGTACAATCATTAGACGAGAGCGAAGTGATAGCGACCGGAGAGGCGGACGAGGAGGTCGTAGCAGTGGTCCGCGCACTGGAGGCCGAGGCGGCGGCCGCTTTGGTGACGACCAAAGGCGTGGAAAACGTGATCTCGACAGACACTCAGGTAGTGATAAGGCAGGCGTTAAGGCTGTGGACAAGAGAGATGGCGGCGGCGCTCATAATTGGGGCAAAATTGACGACTTCTCTACTCGAGAGGAACTAAATGCTGACAATCAGGATATGGCCGACAAGAGTGCCGATGAAACCACTCTTGAAGTGAACGATTCAAATGTTGAAAACGACGGCAACCCTAACGACGAGTCGGTGCCCAAAGAGGAGGCGCCCAAAGAGATGACACTCGAGGAGTATAAACAACAGCTCGAAGAACAGAGAGTCGCCCCGAAGTTCAATCTTCGAAAGCCCGGAGAAGGAGAAGACGGCTCCCAATGGAAGAAGACTTTTGTTCTCAAGAAGAAAGTGGAAGACGAGGACGACGTTGAATACGAAGAGATTGAAGTGGTATTACATTCCGTCCATTGATTTGTTGATTATGTTATCTATAATTGTGTGGAATGTATGCTTGTATTGGATAACAGGAAGAAGATCCACGAAAAGGGCGTCACAAACAGATTTTGGACATTGAGATCAACTTCAGCCGAGACGAGGGCAGAGATTTCCCGAGACGTGGAGACGGAAGGCGTGGCGGAAGAGACAGGCGAAGTGACGATAGAGGCGGCGAACGGGCAGAAAGAGGTGGAGAGAGACCGGAACGAAGCGATCGGCCGGAGAGGGATGGCATGAGAGGTGGCGGAGGCGGTGGTGAGCGTCGCGGCGGTGGAGGTGACAGAGGAGAGAGAGGTGCGGCGCGTGGCTCTCGAGGTGGCGATCGATCGTTTGGTGACCGGAACCGCATTCGTCGTCCGCGTGACCCTAAAGAGCAAACCGCCCCCAAAGTCGACGACTGGAATGACTTTCCCTCGTTGTCAACGGCATAAGTGTCTGCACTCTTACCATATTTTTTTGACATCAATTTAAACATAATTATTATAAATATAATTAAAAAGCAAATAATAGACAAACAAAGCGTTAAAACACACGAAAATGACTTAACTTTTGATCAGACATTCAAATTGCAGTTTTCGTCGATTGATCTAAAATATTATTTTATGCTAAGAATTGTAGGAAAAATGATATATAAATCCTTATATATTGTAATATTTAACTTAAGAGCCAAACAAATATGAGTTATGTTTTGATTGAATATATTTGTTATTAACATAAATGTTAAGAATAACGAGTCATTACCTGAAAAGAGTAATTCATTCAAACTATCGATTCTTTTGATGTATTTTTTTGCATATTATATAAAATGAAAATAATGTCCGATTAATGACGAAAAATCGTTTCTTTATTATTTCGAAAATAAAATCAATTTTTTGATTGAAACCTAAATTTACTTAACATTTGTTTTTATTCAACTCTTGTTCCTCTGAAACACGTTTTTGGCCATTCCTTTGGCCTTCTCTGGCGCTATCGTATCGAAGATGTCGTCGTATTGGTCGACGTCCACATAAGCGGTTCCCAGAGGTTGTCTCAGCTCTTTGCTCTTCTTGGCTGAGTATTTGTCTTTGTATTTATCGGACGTATTGTTCCTCAGCTCTCGTCGGTGTCTATTGGGAGACACGTAATGAGGATTACTGTAGAGAATTCTTCCGCCGAAACTCGAGTCAAATATTTTAATGGGATTTAACACAAAACGCGGCCCAATCTCTGACAGAGAGCCGTCCTCTTCGACGATCTGATAGTTTCTAAACCATATCTTATTCTCAAGAATATTGAACGTCAAGACGTGATCATAAAAAGGTTGACTCTTCGGGTGATTGTTTGGGACTCCGAAAATCTGAAACATGTTTTCAATCAAATTATTTGTTATTTTAAAAAATCAATTTTAAGAATACCTGAACGAAGAGCTCTTTGAGAAGTGAATAATGGATTTGTTTATCAAATAAGGGATCAAATGAGAGGAGAGGTCGCGAGCCTTTGAGACAATTGCCAGTCATTCGCATTTCTTGCATCGTATGGACTGTCGGACAGGAAATAAGCGATCAATCAATTGATGTAATCAATGGACACAACACTTACTGTTCTCAACCAAGAACTTAGCCGACGGTCCGTTCGGCACATTTGATGCCCACATATAGAGGTCTTTGCGCTTCCGGTTCTCAAAGAAGAGACATTTATTGCAATTCTTGATTTCGCAGATCTCGTTCACCACAAGAGTCGAGTCCTTCGACTCCATCTTCGGCTCAGACTTCGAGTGCGGAAGCAATTGCTTGATATTATTCATCAGATGTCTGTCCCTATAAGTGATGCCACGTGTGGCCAACACAAGCACTCGCTGTTTGTTAATCCACTTATTCTGATATCAAATCAATTAATTGAATCAATCATTAGTTAATCCGTAAACCAATTGAATCCAAGACTTACTCTCTTAAGCGGCGGTTCGTCTGAATATCTGACGGCATCCAAAACCACGACATTTGTCTCATTGGACTCGTTGTTACGGTTCTTCGCTTCGGCAGCCAATGAGCGCCTCTTTTTGGCCACTTTTCCCATATTTTATTAAACAATGATTTAATGAATTATGAAATGAAAACACAAATCAAATGACTTTTTGGGGACCAAAACAGTGAACAACACGTGCTTTAAGTTTATATGCGTTAAGCAATGGATAGCATAGAGAGTGCAATAGAGGGCACACTTTGTTTGGCACCGATTCTTGTGTTTGGAAAACACATTATTTGAATGAATGCACAAAATATTGAATGAATTCTTGAAAAACTTATTTATTATTCTTTTACCCAAAAACTCATTCATTTGACGCAAAACTCTCGAAAAGAAAATTTATTTCTTTAAACAAATGCAATAAATCTTTGCTTTCAATGATAAACTGTGTTTCCATTTGCACTTATTTTAGGGAATATTCAGTGATTTATTGAAATCAGATTTCGGTTGAAATATATTCTTAAACTTACTTTTATTTATAAATATATATCAAATTGAAAACACTATGAAATCTAACAAAAACTATAGATTATATTATTGTATATACAGAATACACTTTAAAATACATGAAATGTACTTTCATTTGAGCATTAATTTAAAAGTGAATAAATAATTGAATGTAAAACAAATTGCGATGAATTATCGCATACATAGTGATAGTCATCGGTGTTGAGATCGAAAGTCATGGATCCGCCGAAACTATTGTCACGAATCCATTGAGCCTTTAGCGCAACACTAGTGCTGTCGTCATAAGAGACCCAAAGATCTCCGCTCACAAGATATGGTACTTTCGCTTCGGCATCAAAATAGCTATGAGTGGAAGTGTTTCGTAGAAGTGCACAGATCTGGGTATATGTCATGTCCTGCAACTGAGCGATGGCGGCCGAGTCCGGACCCGTGTGTTCAGTGCTCGCCAATTGATAAGAGTGACCGTAAGTGGGAATCCCAACCATAATCTTTTCTTTACTCATCCCAAGTGTTACCCAATGATTGACCGATCGATTGGTGTTCAAGAATGTAAAATAAGTCTTTTCCACTTTACGTCCATAGAGTGGTGAGTTATAGCCAGTGAAGGGCCAGAATGGGGTGAATTCGTGGAAATCATATGACATTACATTCACGAAGTCTACATATTTGGCCATTTCTGGCATATCATAGGCCGCGTCCGCAACATTAATGATCGCAGAGACGGCACAACTCAACAGCAATTGCCGTCTATTGTCGACACGATTGAGTTGTCGTTCAAATTGTATATTCAATGACTGTTAAAAGATTTAAATTTCAATAAAATATTTATATAAATGCAATGAACAATGAAAATACTTTTAGTAATTGAGTGAATGTGTATTTGTCCTGAGGATAGGGTGTATTCCAGGCCGGAAACTCCCAATCTATACGTTATTCAATCATTAGTACAACAATTAAACATTTGTTTAATAATATGAAACCAAATCAATACCGATATCTAAACCATCGAAATTATATTTCAAAAGAAGATCCATAACTGATGAAACAAATCTAAGAACATATAAAATAATGGTATAAACAGATTAATAAAGTGATAACAACTCGATGTCATACAAACCTATCAATATTGGTTTGATTGGAACAGATCTGATGAAAACCGGAGCCATCACTGCCTCCGCCGCCAACCGATAACATAATCTTCAAATCCGTGAAATTGGTCTTAAGTTGTGTTACATTTTGATAATACAAGACATCGTTTGGTTGGTGCGGACCAACGGTTCCGTTGACGATATCAGCGAAACCGAGGATAATATGAGTACAAAGCGAGCCATTGATTGTTTGGGCGTCTATTCGTTGGCTTGAGTCCACCCGAAGATAACATACTCTTTGAAATTTGGATTCAATTTGAATGAAATGAATATTTAGAAGAAGTAGGAAAAGCAATGATTTGGTTATAACGTTAATCATGTTGTGTTTGTCATGAATATCACTGACAAAGTGATGGGAAATACCGATCGATAAATGAATGACATCTAAAATGATAATTACTTTACACTAAACTATACTATAGTTATGACACAAATCACTTGTTTTTATCAAATAACCCGAAAATTGAGAAATTCTGGATTCAATGACATAAAAGCAGATATGATTTGATTAAATAACAAATACACTACTTATTGATCCGATGACTGAATGACTGAACAAACAAAATAAACTACACTATTATTTGACTCCAATTTCCTATCAAAACGCAAACACTATTGAGATATGAAATTAGATCACAAAATATTTTGTTTTTTAATAATTCAATTGAAAATTTGATATAAAGTTTGGCCGAAACTCAAAAGACATTTCACGAGTCGTTTGTGTAAATATTGACGGAAACTAAAGGAAATAAAATACTATCCATAAAGACATTGCATTCATGTCATTATATTAACCACTATTTACTCATATAATTCACATCATTATAATTGTTATGCTTTTATTGTCTCATTGTTTCCATTCTTTCCGCAAACCATTAAAAATAGTATTTTTGAAATTTTCTCATTTCATTGTCTTTTTAATTGCTATCAAATGAATTGCAAATATTGTGAATCATATGATATTTAACACTAAACTTCTAAACAATTATTGTTTATTTGCATAATAAATATCTAATAAAGAAATATTAAATTTGTAATAAAAATATTATAAAATTACTGTTAGATTTGAAATTTAAAACAATTACTGCTAATCAAAAATTATTTTTAATATTTTCAAAAAAATAGCGCAAACAAAATATTCACGAATATTCATTGCATTCCCAGTATTAACAATAATGTCATAACTTATTGTATAATTAAAATGAGGTTATATGGTAATTTAATAAATGTACATGTACCTTTATATGCTGTATTGATGACCTAGGGCATATAAGGGAATATCTGTCACATAATTGACTGTCAAAACACATGACATGTATTGATTAATGAGCAAAAGTGATGTCAAAACACGTGCTTTTGTTGATAAGAGTAGTGAGCGTTGAATGAAGTGTTCATTTGATTGCCATTCAAATCACTCTCTCATAGAAACTCTTTTAGTATTTGATATCAATTTGCAAATCATTGATCAAAATGAGTGGCAAACAGTTGGCGGCCATAACTCACGTACTCTTTGATTTGGACGGTCTGTTGATCGACACCGAGACCTGCTATTCGGTGGTCAACGATAATGTGGCCAAAAAGTACGGCAAAGAGTTCACTTGGGATCTCAAGTCCCGGTGCATGGGTTTGAGTCCCAGAGAGAGTATTGGTTTGATTGTCAAAGAACTGGACCTTCCGCTCACTATCGACGAGTGTATGGATCTGATTGACCACTACTTCAACATTGCCATCAAAGACGTGGAACTATTGCCGGGCGCCGAACGGCTGGTCAAACACTTGTATGATATGAATATTCCTATGGCTATCGCCACCGGATCCTCATCTAAACAATATGTCATCAAAACGGCTAAATTTGAAGACTTCTTCATCAAAAGCAATTACTTTCGCCATAAAGTGTTGGCCGCCGACGACCCGGACGTGAAGAGAGGCAAACCATTTCCCGATGTTTTTCTCGTAGCCATGAATCGATTTGATCCCATTCCTCAGCCACACAATGTACTCGTGAGTACTCTTCCATCTCATTAGACCGTCATTTCAATTGTATTGATCGTCGATTTTGGTCTATAACTCATGGTTTAAAAAAGTTTTTTCAGTTTAAAACTTGTTGACACTTAATAGCAATTTGCATGAAATTAATAATTAGTAACAATTAATGTGAGAAATAAATGTGAATTTTGTATTTCATAGGTGTTTGAAGACAGTGAGATCGGCATTAGAGCCGCTTTGGCCGCAAACATGCCCTGCGTTTGGGTTCCGGACCCCAGGTTTGATGTGAGCCAACAAAATGCCACTCAAGTACTCAAATCGCTTGAAGACTTTAAACCAGAATTGTTTGGTTTACCGGCGTTTAAGTCCTAATTAAATAAATAATAATCTCATCTATTTTTGATAATTGTGTCAACTTTTTGTGTATTACTTTAAGATTTTATATTTGTATGTGATTTATAAAACCTTAATTGAATGCATCAAAAATGGTGTGATATTTGTGTCTAGAATTTATGTTAAATAAAAAAAACAATTTTCAAAAAACCTATTGCTTTAAATGTGAATATTCTGTGCACAAGAATTTGCAATTTCCACCAGAATATGGAAAATACAGTGCAATGTATGATAGTTTGCAGGAATAATAGATGTTTTGTAACACAAATGCATTGATAGATAGCGCACATAATGTGAAGACGAGAAGAGATTTGATCGCAAACTGAATGTAAATAATATTCCGGAGAGAAGTGATCGTCAAATAGACGTCAAAACAGAAACGAGTGATAAGAATATGTGATACACTTTGGCTTCAAATGAATCGCTTATCACTTCATTCACACGAGTAATGCATTCAACGCAACCATCATTTGAGTTGAGCTGAAAGTCAATTGTGTTATCTCTCGCTGTCTTTGAATGCTATGTCTGGAGAGAGCGACCAAACGTACGAAAGGGTCAGTCATTGCATCTTTGATTTCGACGGAACTCTCGTTAATTCGGAAACTTTTCTGACACAAGCCATCAATGAAGTGCTCCAGACGTATGGCAAACACTTGGACTTCGGTATCAAATGCAAGACCACTGGCCTTCATCTCGGACTCAGCGGTCCCATCATTATAGAGGAGCTCTGTTTGCCACTCACTCTACAGGAATACACAGACCGTGTCATCAAAACGTTTAAGCAAAAGATGACCACCGGTTGCGTGGAGTTCATGCCCGGCGCCCAACGCCTGGTCCAACACCTGACCCGCACTGGTGTCCAAATGGCCATCTGTTCTGCGAGCACTCAAATCACTTTCCCCTATAAAGTCAAACACTTCGGCGACTTCTTCGACGAGGGAAAGCATTTCCATCACATCCTCAAAGCCGGTGACGATCCCAACGTTGTCCGCAACAAACCCTACGCCGATCCCTACCTCTACTGTATATCGATGTTTGATCCGCCGCCTCATCCCAAGCAAGTGCTCGTCTTCGAGGACTCGCCCACTGGGCTCGAGTCGGCGCTGAGCGCCGGCTGTCAAGTAGTGATGATTCCCGACAAAAGCAAATTTCCCGATAAAACGCGATTCGTTGGCGAATCGACTCTTGTAATCGATTCGCTCGACGAGTTTGATCCACAGATATTTGGTTTACCAAAGTTTTAGCGTTAATTTTCATATATTTATTTAATTTAAAAATTTTAGTTTCCATGAGTTTTATGAGTGAAATACAAATGAAAAACACAAATTAATTTAATAAATCATTTAAGACTTATGTTTATGATTCTTATGTCATCGTATGGTTTGTCTGTTTTTGGATGAGTCTTAGCGTTACTGATGTTCTGAACCGATTCCATGCCCTTAATTACGCGGCCAAAGACCGTGTGTTTGTTGTCCAACCAATTGGCGGGAACTACTGTTATGAAGAACTGCGAGCCGTTAGTGTTGGGTCCGGCGTTCGCCATACTTAGCGTATAGGGTTTGTCGTGCTTTAAGTCCGGATGAAACTCATCCTCAAACTCTCCGTCCCATATGGATGTGCCGCCGGTGCCGATGCCGTCCGGGTCTCCCGTTTGGATCATAAACTGTTTGATCACCCGATGAAAGATGTGTCCGTTATAGTAGCCATTCTTCGAGTGAATGCAAAAGTTTTCCACACTTTTGGGACATTCTTTGCCAAATAGTTTGCAGTGAATGTCACCCATTGTTGTGTGTATTATACAGTTGTCCCAAATCTTCTGTTGGGCCGGCGTTTCGATGGCAGCGATGATGTCCTCACGAGAGGGCTTCTCGTTGAATACGTCCCGTTCAGCTCCGGTCGCGTTCTCGCCGTTCGCTTCTTCCGGTTCTCGTTTAGTGAACAAATAGAAGCGATTCTTCTTGAATGCCGTACACAGAAGTGTTGGGTCCGGATGTGAGGCCTCCAGACCGGGGTTTTCGCTGGCCTTCATCTCCACACTAATCGACGCTTTCGTTGTATTGGGAATTGTCTGATGAAGGCATAGACTGAGAGCCCGAAAGTTCTCGCCCTTTGCCAACATTTTGACACATCTATTGGTATACCAGTTGACAATCTTAATGCCCAGAAGAGTGGGATATATCACGAAATAACTGCTTTCGTCGAAAATGATTCGCTCGAATCGGAAAGCGTCCGACTTTTCGAGATCCCTTTCCATTGCCATTCGTCGGCCGAACTCCATGTTTGGCAGCTGTGGTGTCGTCTGTTGTAATTGTGTCAACTGTTGGAGACTCTCGTCGAACACGCGGACCAGTTTACCCGTCAGGAACTTAAATACCCTGACCTTACGGTCGGCGCAAATCGAGGCGAAGAGTTTGCCGTCGTTTGAGTAACAGATATCGTGAGGTATTGTCTTATTTTTGGCGAATTCGTACAAATCTGTGTCCAGTTTTGAATTAAAATCCACTATATTTTCGGGAAACTTATAATCATTCCTATGAGACATCCAATAGTCAAGCATTCCTTTGGTGTCCACCGAAATCATTGTGGAAAAGATGTGATTATATTTCATACAAATCACAGGACTTGAATGCAAGCGCTCGAAGACGTGGAGGACTGTGTCGGTGGCCGTCGCGTCGTATGTATAGATTTTATGGCTCTCGGCGTCCGACACAGCGATCGCCGGAATGGGATCTCCGGCCGAATGACACCATTGGGCGGAATGCGGTCTATAGTCCATACGAATCATATTAATCATATCGAAGTTGATTACATCAAACACTTTCATCGTCTTGTCGTTGGACACGGAGGCCAACAGAACGCCCGTCGAGTTGACACACAAGTCATTGATTGGTCCCAAATGTGTGCGAAAGTGTTTGACAAACTCGATGCCGACCGACAGCTTCTTCCAGAACTTGATGTGACCGTCAATACTGGCGGTGATCACGAAGTCAGTGACGGTGACCAACACATGACTCACTACATCCCTGTGCATAAACGACCGCTCGTACGACTCACTCGAGCACAGGTTCTTCACGTACACGTCCTCGAAGGGCAGTGTCTTCCGCCGTTTGGCCGCTGACTCCTCCACCGGCGGCACCGCCTCTGACCCGTCGTCTCCACCGCTCTCTCGGCCATCGCTTCCCTTGTCTTCGGTCTGGTCTTTGCGTTTCACACCATTTCCATCGACATTGAGTTCAGTGTCGGTGTCTTCGACGCGGATCTCTTGAGACATTCTTCGGGTTTAACTCTGGATTCAAACGCAAAAAACAACAAATATTTTCACTTTTTGTCTCAAAACATGTGTTTTAGAGGTTTGGCTTCACATATGAGTACACATTATGTGTGCCTTTTGTTGACTGAATCGCATTGTTTTGCAGGCATTGAGTCAACAGTAAATTGAGTGTCAGTTTTAGGTAAACATTTGAAAGTAAAACAAGTGTTTGACGTTTGATATGATTTTCAATTGAACTTCACTTTTGAAAAGTGTTTTTCAATTCAAATCACATTTAAATACAATTTGTGTTGAATTTATTGTTGAATAATATTATATAAAATGCGATAAAAGTGTTCAACAATTGAACGATTGGTTGCTTTACTTAACCATTGAATCACTGATTGAGCGATGATTTACGACGAGCTGAAGGAGGGATCAAATGATTAGCAAAAAACAAGTGATTTTCATAAATGATTAG